TTAAATAGTTTTGCTTCCTCACATATGAATACATATATATATATACATATATATATATATTTGCAGACCTGCTGTGCCTGATGATGATATCCTCATTAGGTGGTTTGTAGCTCAAAGCTGCAGCAGTACTAACCTGACTCTGCTTCAGATACCCTCAGAAACCACAACACACTCTAGATTATCAGAGCTATTTCCTTCAAATATAAAAATCTAGATGAACTACATAATTACAATATGTTAAGTGCAATGAATGACCTAATGAGAAAAGTTAAATAATGTCTTCTTGCCAGGTAGATCAGGGTGAGGCAACTCAAACAGTGTAATTAATTGCATGAAATCGGTTACGGGTAAGACAGATGTGTACATTCTACTGTACATTCTATCTGTCTTTCAAGCTTCACATCACAGAATTCAGGGCTAAAGCTTTAATACAGTCTTTAACTTTAATGACCTTCTGAAATGGGAATACTTGGGAGCCTCTGTTTTATCTCACCAGTAAATTCATACACTGGACACATGCTACCAGTTTTGTTTGTTATTGTGTGTTTTTTTTAAAGCAAAGTATAAGAACTGTAGGTACAGTTTTTTTCATAGGAAAATCACTCAAAAGCTGAGCGATTTAAAGGCTAGGGCTAGGAGATATCTACTGAGTTTTTAGCCATCTGGGACCCCAAGACACTCCACATTTAACTGGCAAACTGCAGAAAGGGGAAAAGGATTGCACAGCCCCACCAAAGAGATAATGATAGTTGAATATAGTTGAATTCCCACATTTCCCTTGAAATATCTCATTTCTGATCAGGTCAGAGGGATGAGGCCACAAGGCAGACTGCCACTTTTGAAGGGGAACATTAAGAAAATCGTTAGACTTCAGCATTATTTAATTTTGGTCCAAAAGTACACACAGCTCTCTGCTGAGCAAGGCAACCTAGACCTTCTACAAACACAAACACCAATGGGGTGGAAGAGGCTCTCTCCATGCTCTGTTTGCTCAGGCAAGTCTTCCACTATTCCCAAAGCTCCATGTGACACGTCTTCTCCATTTAATTTGCTGGTAAAAGAGGGGACAGTGGGAAACAACGAAGCTTCTTGCCACTTAGGTAGAACCTAAAGTTTTTTTCCGTGTGAGGGCAGACACTCTTTCACCACTGTGTCTACTTTTCAATCAGATGTGATGCATTTCTTTCCACCAGGAAGCCTTGCCCAGGCTGAGCTATGACAAAGGTTTTACAAGCAAATCACCCTCCCAAAGAATCCAGGGATTCTTTGCTCATTCTCATATTTCCATGTTCATTGTTATCTTCTGATTAACAAGTTGCTACTGTGTCTTTTAATCTTAAAAGAACACAATGAGAGGTACCTGACAGTAGGGGCTTGCTGGGGTGTTTTGCAACAGTTCAATGAGAAATGGAGAATACAGCCTCAAGCATGAGGAAGGATCAATGATATCTACAGAAGTTTGCCTGAAAGGTAGAGTACCTTAGCAGAATTGACAGAAAACCTACAAATACTATAAAAAGTATGGATGAGTGGAGGAAGACAGACAACAGGTATAATCTGTTCCCACAAAGGAAAGAACGCAATCAGAAGTTCACAGAAGATGCTGTCCTAGAGAGTTTTAAAAGACTGAATATGAGATACCTATCCCCGTTGACATACTGCTTCCCCTTCCTGTAAGAATTTAGATGTAAAAGACTACAGTATTCTGTCAAAATGGTGTATACCTCACCAGTATTTTGCTTTAGAGAAGTGTCAGGTTTACATTTACATTAATCTGTTGCACTTCCTAAGCTGAGGCAAAGTCAGGTTGGTTTTTGCCCCACCCTCATCATTGACATTAGACTAAAGAAAGTCAGATAAAGTTTAGTGTTATGTTAAGGGATTTCATGAAACAAATGGGAATGCTACACAATATTTATCTTCAGACACTTCCTGCTAGCAGCATGGCTAGTTTATGGGGGTTTATAGCCTGTTTCCATAAACAGTCTCCCTAAGTATTCACTTTGCCTTAGTTTGTCCCAATGCTCTGTTGTTTTACTTGTTCATTGCCACATACCAAGGTGAAGGATATACACCAAAGATAAAGAAATAAGTTATGTTTTCTCCTATCCTCACAGCTTGTACTCCTAAACCAGAAAAGACACACTATTGTCTCTGTTTGACCTTACCTCTGGTTGGACACGTATTTTTGAGGCTGAAGTGCAGCTTGACTTCTCTGTAACATTCTACATTTGCTTAGTTTTCATTAAGGCACAAATCAAGCAAAGCATAATAACCAATGTGCCAGCCACTAACCCTGCCTTCCCTAGTCAAGGAGCATGCAAAAGAAGTTTGTGTAAAATGCTCCTGACTTTATCCCTTTCTCTTTTTCACAGTCTCCAACACTGTCTGTTGATATGTATTATCATCATTATTCCTTCATTTCTTCAGTCCAAAATATCATTATGGAATTAGAAGATGAGAATCAGTAAGTTATAACTTAGTATCTACCTACATGTACAACAAACGTTCTCACTTCCTGGAGCCCTGCCCCATAGTACTCTGTTAAGTATGCCAGGCTGACAAGCAATGGTTCTCTTTCAATATGAGCACTTCTGTCAGCAGATATGTCAAAGTCAGAAAATGCCCCAATCACCAAATATTGTTTTAAATCAAGATACAGACAGGCCTAATTGCTTAGAAGCTTGGCTCAGCCTACTCAGAGGAAGGGAACTGAGCTATACCTAAATTCCCCTAATTTTAAACTTGCTAGAATCCAGAGTCTGGATGAAGATTCATCCTTAGCTGATGTTCAATAACTCATCTCTCTTTTTCTCTAAGAGATTTGAGTGCTGAGAAAAAGCCTTTAATTTGGGGGATTTCCATCATCTCCCCATACCATACTATAGCTGTAGCAAATGAAGATGGAAACCACTTCTCAAGAGGGACATTCATGAAACAAGCTTCAGTTGGTTAAACTAGCTAAGCAATATGTCTATGCTAAGTCATTTTCCATTTTAACAGGATAGCACCAAGAGGGTAAAACATATTGCATCTGAAGTAGCCACCCCCACAGCACTGTCAGACAAGCTTGGCCTCCCAGAGGAGGGAGGGTAGAAGATTAGAAAGCAAATAAGGAGAAACATCAGAATGACTCAAGTGGAAACTGAGCAAGATAGGATGGGAAGAGGTTTTGCATATTCTTGCCTCTTGCTTTCTTGACGATGCCACTAGTGAAGCAACTGCTCCTGCTGGGTACCAGGCATCTCTTTTCAGAGCTGACCTGACTAACGTATTCTATTCAATCTTCCTCTGTGTTCTGCCATGAGTTACTTTTATCATCTCCTTCATCACCATAGTTTCCACAAAATGTTTTCTGCTAGTTTTTTAGAAATTTTCTTCACTGTTTATAAACTATGATAGATAAAACTCCAGTAACTGTCAACAATAAGATGCTAATACAGATCTAAACATATCTGGCTGAGTAGTACAGAGGAATTCTCGTATTTCACACTCTTCGCTAGCAGGACTGCTGTGCTTTCTTCTGGTCCTAACGTAGTATTTTTTTATTTGTTTCTTTGTTTTCTGTAAACTCTCTCTATGGAGGCCCTATACCACCACAGAAACATGAGTGGCCTCCTTCAAAAACTAGTAGGAATGTTCCTTTAACAAGCCAGATGGGCAGTTAATCATAAGGGCCACAAGGTGTTGGAGGAAACTCAGGGGAAATTATTTTCTTCTTACTCACAGAGGTGGAAATCAGAAGTTATATCTAAGGTTTCCTAAAGGGTAGTCAAACTGTTGGTCTCAGCATCATTCCCAACTCCTGCCAGCCCCCTGTGAAACATGGTCTAGATTAACCAGTGTAAGACAATGGTGCAACAGTGTTTGCACTCAAAGCTGAATCACTTTAAGTGAACTGATGCAGCATTTAGACAGACAAACCTTTGGTGAGTGAAAAAGCTTCCTTCTCCCTTTGCTTTCAATCAGACCTAACAATTCATTAGTTTAAGTCTGAGGCACAAGCACAGGTAGACCTGATTAGACCATGAGCAAAGCTAATAGCACCCAGAACCACCCAAATATGAGCCTTTATGATTTTGGATTTGGTCATTGCACATCCACCACATGCTGGGGACATATTTAACTATACCACTGGCTCAGGTATGTCTAACAGCATAGTCAAAATAACAAGGACATCAACACAGACTGCAAAACACACCCAAGAAGTCTGGGAAATAATCAGGTGGTTAGTCTACCTTGAGCTATGTGCAGGCTTGGCTAGCTGGCTTCAGAAAGGTTTAGGAACGTCTACGGATGGACTTGCCACATTGTGAGTTCAGATCAGCCATACCCTCCATGTAAGAAAAAAGAGGGCAAGCTCTGCAATTGTTATGCATTTTTTGCATAGAAAAGGGGAGTGATGTTAGTCTGGAAAAAGAGTCTACCTGTCTACAAGCTAAACCCAAGAGAACAATGTGATTTACTCAGATGTACACACGCTGGTGCGGCTTCACTGAAGTCAGTGGGTACCTGCAGGATTTCAAGGAGTCTATTCATCTTGACCAGCAGTCAAGCAATGATTTTGAAATTAATTTGGGCACTAAAAACACATTTCCTCTAAAAAGTCTGGTCCACTGGTTGTTTAGTTTATTAAGCAACTGTTTAGCTGGGAACAGAATAGCCCTTTGTTAGATCATTTTTTCTACTTTGTGACTTTTTTGTTACTATCACTTAAAATATGCAAAATTGAACAAACTGAAAACCAGCTATTTTTTTTTTCCCTGCAGATAATTAAAAAAAAACCACCTAAAATCATAGATCTCTTTTTACATTGAGTGAAATTTTCCAAGGTCTTTTTTTGCTTATAGAAAAATGGAGTAAAGAAAAGGTACTGCTTTTATATTTCCCTTCTACTTTACTAACAGAGAAACAAAAATTAATTGCATTCCTATTGGTTTCAAGTCCCACAAGTTGTCTTTTTTTTTTTTTTTTGGTTAAAAATAGGAACAACATCTCAAGCAGTTTCCAAATAGATTTCTTCTGTTGCTTCCCATCAGACATAGTATTTTTCAACCAGCTCTATTTAAAATCAACAGGAAGATTCCCACTGGTACAAAAGGGAGTTGGGTCAGGAAGAATCATAACAATTTCAACTAGATTTTTGTCAAAAGGATATTCTCCTTTCTGGCAAAATAAACAAATAAAAGAAAGCATTTTTCAGTTTTTATAGGTAAACCAGAGGCCACTACCATCCACCAGCAATGATATGCTGAAAAATGGAAGTTTTGCTAATATTCTGCTTGGAAAAATCATTGCTAGAAAATACTGAAAAATTAGGACTCTTCCATGTCCAACTGTTGAATGATTTCAAAATTTTTACTGCTAACATCCAAAATGTGACCAAGGATAGGAGTGCTACTGGTTTTTACCTGGAGATAGTGGCATTTTGGAATGAACAGTCACCAAACACCCCAAAAATTCTATGCCTGTAAATACTCAAAAAAAATGCCCCCATCGTTTCCTTCAACAAATAATTTCATACAGTTACCAAGATGCAATGAGTACTTAAGAAACAAGTGCGGGTTTCTTCAGATATGAGGTCCCAATCTTAAATATAATTGCATCCAGCCAGACTCCTATGATCACACAGGGCACCACTGGCTTCAGCAGAGCTCCACATGGGTTCAAGTTCTGCTTGCATGGAGTAACTACCAGACTGAGACCTATGGCAAGACTTGAGAATATTTTAAAAACCTCTACATTGTTCAATACACAATAGACATAATTTTCTAAATGAGACTGGAGTCCTTTATTACAGGCCTCTAAAAGTTGTTGTTAGGGTTATACATTAAAAATACTAAAGTAATAAAAAAAGATTTTTTTTTCTGTGTTTGCTTGTTTCCTTCTATGATACCATTAAGCTATAAATAATTTTAGGATAAAATGCCTAGGTATAAATGAAACTGTTAACTGATCATGTTTGCTGATGTCCCTTTCTCACATTGCCCAAGTTGGCTCCATTAATCCAGCATCTTCTCTTGTTTCTTGCCTTCCTTTTTCTTCTTCTTGGATTCTGTCAAGATAACAATAACCATAAAAAATTAGAGTCTAACAGGCACTGCAACAAATTTCATTCAATACCCCAAAACTTCCGCTTGTTTTCTCTGTGTATGTAAGAACTAATTCTGATTCCTCGTTCTGAACAAGGAAAGGGAAAAGAGAAGGAAAAGAAATTAACAAAGGAACAGCTGAGGCACTAGAGAAGATGGAAAGGGGGGGTGCATGTGCTGTTCAGAACCCTTCCTATCTGAGCACCTGACCCTCTTTGGCATGCAAAGCATTGTCTCAGGAACTTGCTTTGAAAATAAGAAAACAGCAGGCAGCTCCTGGAGAAACCGGGTCACGGCTCAGTGGAGAGCTGGAAGAAAGCTTTGCACACACTATCCACACACATACCCTTCTTCCTTGCTTCCTTTCTGTTTCATTGTCTGTCTTTGGCTTTCTCTAAATATAAGAGAAACTCTAGAGTGTGGTGAGAAAGCTCACTTATTTCTTCAGCTTCTCCATTGCCAACCCCTTCCCCTTTGTCTGGGACTAACACCTATGTACACTTGAGGAGCCTGGAGTCACTAGAACGTGGTCTGTCCAGGCAGCTGGTACTGACGGGATGGCGAAGAGACTAGGGAGCATCTGCTTCTCTGATTAATTTGGGGTAAATAAGGTAACGGTGTGAAGGTGCAAGTTAAAGTTTATATTAAAATTACCATTTATGGTCGTATAATACCATACCATGTAACACCAGCTTTCACTGTGCTAAAGGGGAGTGCGGTATTCTACCGGCAAAGGAAATTCACAGAGGGACCTAAGGCATGAATATGTATCACATGTCACCTTGCAATGGGCAAAATAACAGGTCTCACGGGGAATGTGAATAAATCAAATCCTCACAGATACCACCAAAAAACACAGCATAACAGGTACTACAGAAAGAATGAAACTGAGTTTCTGTGAAGCATCTTTCCTGGAACCAAAACAGCAACCAAGTAGACTCACGTTTGCCTTAAACCAGATGTCACTTTTCTCCTTTGAATCCTGCCTTTGTTTTTTCATTCTCAAAAAATACCTCCTCCCCACCAAAGAAACCAAAACAAGACAAAGAACCCCGACAAAAAAACAAAACAAAAAATCGTACAACAAAATAACAACCAAAACCAAAAAGCAGAAACCAAACCCCAACAGAAAACATCTCAGGTTATATAACAAATATAACCATGAATGAGAAGACAAGCACTTGGCCCGTTAGGTGGTACACTCTTCTTTGTGAATGTGATTCTTTTCTCTCTGACCAGTTTGCAGAACACAGATAAGCAAGCAATAATCACCTCTTGTAAAACCTTACTTGCATTAAAGCCAAAAGAACTACACTGACATCTTTCAGCTATGTATAGGGCCAGGGTACCTTCGACAGAAGGCAGGCTTAAGTCATCACGTTTCTCTGATGTTTTGTTGTGGTTTTTTCCTGTTAGTGTTTCAAAACAAAATCTTCATCTTTTTCAACATGACAAAAATTGTTTCTGATAATCCTTAGTCAAAGCAAAATAAAATACCTATTTTATGCTTAGTCACAAAATCTGCTCTATAGAATCTTTCCCTTAAAAACTCTTCTTAACATTTAAATGGATAAGAATTTAAAACAAAAAGTAATTTTGTTTGAAAATAAGAAAATGAACTATTATTTTTTTTACCCCTGCCTTTGTATGTTTGTCAGTGTTTGTGTGTGCTTGTGTACGTATGCCTGCAATCCAGAGCTATTCACAGAATCTGGCATTATTTTACATGTCATTCTAAAATGCCACTTATCTTTAAGTTAATATCTAATTTGCTTTCAGCTAAAGCTTTTTTTTCCCTACAGATTTTCTGTCTCCCCTCCTATCCTCTTTAATCCATGTTCGCCAGCACTTCCTCTAATTTTGCTCGGTATCACTGAGCCTCCTGGATTCTGTATTGATTGCACTCTCTCTGACTCTCTTACCTCACCCCCTAACACTGCTTTCTCTGACAGAAACAGGGGTGTTTTATTAATCACACCAGCATTTGAATCTGCAAAATCTATTTAGACCCAGCACAACCAGAAGGACACTCTGCAGACTTCCAACTAAATTTACCAAAAGCAAAGCAGACATATGAATGCAGGCAGACCACTAATAGGGCTCTATTGAAGAGTATGTGCAGTTCACAGTAGAGGTGAAGTCACCACCAGGAAAAGTTTTTGGTCTGGACTTGTGTGATTGCATCAGGTCCCCATCTTCACCTGACTTGAGTACCAAACAACTCACTGTTAATCCATCTGCACTTGGCCCCTGTGGGTCTCTATCTGCTCCTGTCAGCAAAAGCTCAGTTCTGCCCTGCTGTCTACCTTGTGATAATCTGCATATCATCCAAAGTGCCAAACCCATCAACCTACAAAGATAAGTGATTCTGCTTTGTGTCCCAGCAGAGCAAAACCTTTGTGCTCACTCATGGGATGTAAATCCTCTCACATTAAAGGTACTCACACCACCACAGCTTAATCTTTAAGACAGGTAAACTGTACTGATGCAAAGTAAATTTGCTCCATGAAATGACATGCATCCCCTGAGTTGTGGCAATATCAAAAAGGAAAAAAAGAAAAAAAAAAACAAAACTGCTCAAATATTCCCCAGTCCTTAAGCTCTTCTAAAAATCTTACTACAGACATTAATACCAGATACTGGCCCATGAAGATGTTGCTGTTAATCTTTTCATGCACAGCTACCCACGAACTGTTTTGACTATGGGCAGGCTACAGACTATTCTATGTCCATGGCTAACAAAATATAAAGTTGCTTTAAGATGTACTTTGTTCATGTTTTCTCATTGCTCAGACCTAGTTTTTGCACCTGTGTCATTCAGGCTTTCACTGCCCTCATCTCTACTCACCCTGCGCTACTATTTCTACTTTTATGACCAGCTATCAGCTCAGCTTAAACATCCACACTGGAATCCATGTCACTCTGATCATCTGGTCTGCCAACGTTTCCCTTCCAAAAGTAATCAGGCTTGACTGAAAGGGTCACCATGCCAGCAGTGCCAGCGCTGATGCCATGCTAGGAAGCCCCGACCAGCTGAGAATACAGTGCCAGCTACCTGAAAGCTCGAAACAGCCCCATACACCAGCACCAGATGTAGCCATGTACAGGGAAAGATCCTCTAGACGCCACAAACTGTGACATCTCAATATAAAGCTTTATGAAAGGTATGTAGATAGGTAAGTAGAAAGGTATGAAGACAGGTATGTAAATTTGATATTTACAGTGAAACACATAATTTAAATACATTAAATGCTTTAGCAAAGGTATTTCTCCTAGAGCTACCAAGATCAGGGTCAGCAGTGAGGTGGGAGTAGGTGCTATCTCTCGCTGTCTCTCAACACTTAAGGTGAGCAGGCTGTGCAGTGGAGGGAACAGATGAGCACCATTGTTTGCCTACTGCTCGAAGTGCACTGTGTGTTAGCGTCCCAGCCAAACTGTCCTTCCATTGCTGGCGTGGCTCAGCATATAGCCACACTGAGGAAAGCTGTAGCAGGATCTATGACTTTCTCTCTGGCTCCCTTCACATCAAGGAAATACTTATCTTTACAATCCTTGTGCATCCTTTCAGCAATACAAAGGTACTGGAAGAGTGAGCTATGTACGTTCCAGAATATTAATAAGGATGACAGAACAGTCCTCAGTTTTTGTGTTTGTGTTAAAGCGTACACTTTCCTCCCTCTCATCCCACAGTTACGAAGCTGCCTAGTGGTGCTGTTGCTCAGACAGAGGCTGGGATCCTGGACCAGGCGACACACAAAGAGCAAATTCAGAATACCTTGCTGTCCATATAGCAGCAACAAGAATTGCACAGACATCCCACTCTCCTCCTGGAACCCAGAGCAGTTCCAGTAAGGTGAAAGAAAACCCTATGTAACATTGTACAAACAGTCCTGCAAGACAAAACTTTGCCAGTGCACACATACTGGATTACCTAATCATCTGTCACCCGAATATGAACAGTTGAATGCCTGAGAATTATTTGCAGGATTAAAGGCTGTTTGGTCATGGATGAACCCACTTCTGTGATGACTGGTAACAAAAATTTCAGTGAGGATCTTGTGAGGTAAACAATTTAATTTGATAAGCAGAACTTTCTCTATGGAATTTGGAATGGCAGCAGCCCTCTTTAAATAGTCATCTTTATTCTGAAGACTCATTCTCATTCAGCACAGGAAAGCAATTTTGTCGAACAGAAGCCACACACCATTTGAAGCCACCCTTAATGTATAAGGCACAAAAGGGAGGTAATTACATTTTAATGGAAGCCAAGCTTTCTAAACCAAGATTTGCAGGTATTTATTTTCATTTGTTGAGAAGAAGGTAACAATTCACTCATGGCACTTCTGAACTCCTGTACATAAAAGGCAAGCAGCGTCCCCAAAAGCAATACAAATCATTCAAAATAGCAAAAGCTGTGCTGATGGAAGGTTAGAGTAAAGAATTTCAACACCAGGTGTTCAGGACGCAGTTTCGTCAGGAGCCAGCATTCAGTGCCACTGAATACAGAGGAAGGCAGCTCTTCCGAAGGGCTCTCTACCTCTCATTGGGGAAAATTTTCCAAAGCACCTGGCTGCTACAGTGAAGGGCAATGGTGCCACTGGGTGCAGGGAACTTTTGAATTTTGGTGATGAAATGCCAAGCCATATGGAAGGAAGCAGTCTTGACATTGATGAAGCCAAGAATTTTATCCTTGGGTGAAAAAAATCTCACCCTAAAGAGGCTCACCCTGCTCTCTAGGAACAGAAACTGCTATCTTATGATTTCCTTGGTTGTAGAAACAAATCCCTTGATTTCTGAAATACCCTTTAATATGGTATTTCTTCTGCTTCTAGAGAAATAGAACCTTTCATGGCCATCCAATTCCTTTTCTTCCTAGTTTCCTGCACAGCATTTATATATTCCCAATAGTTTAAGAAGGAAAAACTATGTTACAATAGCAGTTTTCTTCCAAAATGAGCTCTTC